ACAGAACGTCAGAAAAGTAAAATCAAACAGAACGTCAGAAATGTGAAATCAATTAGCAACAGGAAATCAGTAGTCAGAAGGTCGTAAGTAATGGAAAGTTAAACAGTTATAGGACATAAGCAGAGTGTAATCAAACATAATGTCAGCATTTAAAAATAAATCAGATAGGACGTCAATGATACTTAAACCAACAGGACGACCGCAGAGTAAAGTCAAACACAACGTTAGTAACTGACAGTCAAACGGAACATTAGTAATGCACAGTCGAACAGAACGTTAGTAATGCGCTGTCAAACAGAACGTTAGTAATGTATAGTCAAACAGAACGTTAGTAATATACAGTCAAACAAAACGGTAAAATAATGCACAATCAAACAGAACGTTAGTAATGCATAGTCAAACAGAACGTTAGTAATGCATAGTCGAACAGAACGTTAGTAATGTGCAGTTAAACAGAACGTTAGTAATGCACAGTCAAACATAACATTAGTAATATACAGTCAAACAAAACGGTAAAATAATGCACAATCAAACAGAACGTTAGTAATGTACAGTCAAACAGAACGTTTGTAATGTACAGTCAAATAGAACGTTAGTAATGTACAGTCAAACAAAACGTTAGTCATGCACAGTCAAACAGAACTTTAGTAATGTACAGTTAAACAGAACGTTAGTAATGTACAGTCAAACAAAACGTTAGTCATGCACTGTCAAACAGAACTTTAGTAATGTACAGTTAAATAGTTAAACAGAACGATAGTAATGTACAGTCAAACAGAACGTTAGTAATATAGAGTCAAACAGAACGTTAGTAATGTACAGTTAAATAGTTTAATAGAACATTAATAATGTACAGTTGAATAGTTAAACAGAACGTAAGTAATGTACAGTTAAATAGTCAAACAGAACGTTAGTAATGTACAGTCAAACAGAACGTTAGTAATGTACAGTAAAATAAAACGTTAGTAAAGGACAGTCCAATACAACGTTAGTAATGTACAGTAAAACAGAACGTTAGTAAAGGACAGTCCAATACAACGTTAGTAATGTACAGTCAAACAGAACTTTAGTAATGTACAGTCAAACGGAACGTTAGTAATGTACAGTCAAACAGAACGTTAGTAATGTACAGTAAAACAAAACGCTAGTCATGCACAGTCAAACAGAACGTTAGTAATGTACAGTTAAACAGAACGTTAGTAATGTACAGTCAAACAGAACGTTAGTAATGTACAGTTAAATAGTTAAACAGAACGTTAGCAATGTACAGTCAAACAGAACGTTAGTAATATAGAGTCAAACAGAACGTTAGTAATGTACAGTTAAATAGTTTAACAGAACGTTAGTAATGTACAGTTAAATAGTTAAACAGAACGTTAGTAATGTACAGTCAAATAGAACGTTAATAATGTACAGTTAAATAGTTAAACAGAACGCTAGTAATATAACGTAAAACAGAACGTTAGTAATGTACAGCCAAACAGAACGTTAGTAATGTACAGTCAAACAGAACGTTAGTAATGTACAGTAAAATAAAACGTTAGTAAAGGACAGTCCAATACAACGTTAGTAATGTACAGTAAAACAGAACGTTAGTAAAGGACAGTCCAATACAACGTTAGTAATGTACAGTCAAACAGAACTTTAGTAATGTACAGTCAAACAGAACGTTAGTAATGTACAGTTAAACAGAACGTTAGTTATATACAGTAAAACAGAACGTTAGTAATGTACAGTCAAACAAAACGGTAAAATAATGCACAATCAAACAGGACGTTAGTAATGTACAGTCAAACAGAACGTTAGTAATGTACAGTCAAACAAAACGCTAGTAATGCACAGTCAAAGAGAACTTGAGTAATGTACAGTTAAACAGAACGTTAGTAATGTACAGTCAAACAGAACGTTAGTAATGTACAGTCAAATAGAAAGTAAGTAAAGTCAAGTCAAACAGAACGTTAGTAATTTACAGAATCACAGAACATTAGTAATATACAGTCAAACAGAACTTTAGTAATGTACAGTCAAACAGAACGTTAGTAATGTACAGTCAAACAAAACGCTAGTAATGCACAGTCAAAGAGAACTTGAGTAATGTACAGTTAAACAGAACGTTAGTAATGTACAGTCAAACATAACATTAGTAATATACAGTCAAACAAAACTGTAAAATAATGCACAATCAAACAGAACGTTAGTAATGTACAGTCAAACAGAACGTTAGTAATGTACAGTAAAACAGAACGTTAGTAATGTACAGTCAAACAAAACGCTAGTCATGCACAGTCAAACAGAACTTTAGTAATGTACAGTTAAACAGAACGTTAGTAATGTACAGTCAAACAAAACGCTAGTCATGCACAGTCAAACAGAACTTTCGTAATGTACAGTTAAACAGAACGTTAGTAATGTACAGTCAAACAGAACGTTAGTTATATAGAGTCAAACAGAACGTTGGTAATGTACAGTTAAATAGTTTAACAGAACGTTAGTAATGTACAGTTAAATAGTTAAACAGAACGTTAGTAATGTACAGTTAAACAGAACGTTAGTAATGTACAGTTAAACAGAACGTTAGTAATGTACAGTAAAACAGAACGTTAATAATGTACAGTTAAATAGTTAAACAGAACGTTAGTAATATACAGTCAAACAGAACGTTAGTAATGTACAGTCAAACAGAACGTTAGTAATGTACAGTCAAACAGAACGTTAGTAATGTACAGTCAAACAGAACGTTAGTAATGTACAGTCAAACAGAACGTTAGTAATGTACAGTCAAACAGAACGTTAGTAATGTACAGTCAAACAGAACGTTAGTAATGTACAGTCAAACAGAACGTTAGTAATGTACAGTCAAACAGAACGTTAGTAATGTACAGTCAAACAGAACGTTAGTAATGTACAGTCAAACAGAACGTTAGTAATGTACAGTCAAACAGAACGTTAGTAATGTACAGTCAAACAGAACGTTAGTAATGTACAGTCAAACAGAACGTTAGTAATGTACAGTCAAACAGAACGTTAGTAATGTACAGTCAAACAGAACGTTAGTAATGTACAGTCAAACAGAACGTTAGTAATGTACAGTCAAACAGAACGTTAGTAATGTACAGTCAAACAGAACGTTAGTAATGTACAGTCAAACAGAACGTTAGTAATGTACAGTTAAACAGAACGTTAGTAATATACAGTAAAACAGAACGTTAGTAATGTACAGTCAAACAAAACGGTAAAATAATGCACAATCAAACAGAACGTTAGTAATGTACAGTCAAACAGAACGTTAGTAATGTACAGTCAAACAGAACGTTAGTAATGTACAGTCAAACAGAACGTTAGTAATGTACAGTCAAACAGAACGTTAGTAATGTACAGTCAAACAGAACGTTAGTAATGTACAGTCAAACAGAACGTTAGTAATGTACAGTCAAACAGAACGTTAGTAATGTACAGTCAAACAGAACGTTAGTAATGTACAGTAAAATAAAACGTTAGTAAAGGACAGTCCAATACAACGTTAGTAATGTACAGTAAAACAGAACGTTAGTAAAGGACAGTCCAATACAACGTTAGTAATGTACAGTCAAACAGAACTTTAGTAATGTACAGTCAAACAGAACGTTAGTAATGTACAGTCAAACAGAACGTTAGTAATGTACAGTCAAACAGAACGTTAGTAATGTACAGTCAAACAGAACGTTAGTAATGTACAGTTAAACAGAACGTTAGTTATATACAGTAAAACAGAACGTTAATAATGTACAGTCAAACAAAACGGTAAAATAATGCACAATCAAACAGAACGTTAGTAATGTACATTCAAACAGAACGTTAGTAATGTACAGTCAAGCAGAACGTTAGTAATGTACAGTCAAGCAGAACGTTAGTACTGTACAGTCAAACAGAACGTTAGTAATGTACAGTCAAACAAAACGCTAGTAATGCACAGTCAAACAGAACTTGAGTAATGTACAGTTAAACAGAACGTTAGTAATGTACAGTCAAACAGAACGTTAGTAATGTACAGTCAAATAGAACGTAAGTAAAGTAAAGTCAAACAGAACGTTAGTAATTTACAGTAACACAGAACATTAGTAATATACAGTCAAACAGAACGTTAGTAATGTACAGTCAAACAGAATGTTAGTAATATACAGTAAAACAGAACGTTAGTAATGTACAGTCAAACAGGACGTTAGTAATGTACAGTCAAACAGAACGCTAGTAATGTACAGTAAAACAAAACGTTAGTAAAGGACAGTCTAATACAACGTTAGTAATGTACAGTCAAACAGAACTTTAGTTAAGTACAGTCAAACAGAACGTTAGTAATATACAGTTAAACAGAACGTTAGTTATATACAGTAAAACAGAACGTTGGTAATGTACAGTCAAACAGAACGTTAGTAATGTACAGTAAAACAGAACGTTAGTAATGTACAGTCGAACAGAACGTTAGTAATGTACAGTAAAACAGACCGTTAGTAATGTACAGTAAAACAGACCGTTAGTAATGTACAGTCAAACAGAACGTTAGTAATGTACAGTCAAGCAGAACGTTAGTAATGTACAGTCAAACAGAACGTTAGTAATGTACAGTAAAACAAAACGGTAGTAACGTACAGTCAAACAGAACGTTAGAAATGTACAGTTAAACAGAACGTGAGTAATGTACAGTAAAACAGCACGGTACTAATGTACAGTAAAACAGACCGTTAGTAATGTACAGTCAAACAGAACGTTAGTAATGTACAGTAAAACAAAACGGTAGTAATGTACAGTAAAACAGAACGTTAGTAATGTACAGTCAAATAGATTGTTAGCAATGCGCGGTTTTAAAGAACGTTAGCAATGAAAATGCGATCATAGGTCGACCTCGAGACAACTTCAATATGGACTGCGTTAAAAGTCGTCTTAGTTTGCTACATAATAAGCTTTACCACAGCCAGTTATAATCCTTTATAATGAAACACTTTTTTAAACGAATACTGTTTCAGTAAAGATGTTTCCTCGGAAGACAGATCAATGAGAACAAAACTCTACTGGTTGGAGAAATTCGTGTCCTGGCGCTGTGGTTCTCCCGCTGGTTCGTAACTTTCGCATGTATTTATTTCTTTTTCGATATTTCAGATACATTAAGACCTTTGTTACTGAATACACTATGAATAACAAATATTTAAGAAAGGGCGTCTCAGATACAGTTCAATAAAAACGGTAAACAAAATGTAGAGAGGGTATAAAATTGGTAATGCCTGAACAGTATTTTTATCCATTCTCGTCATGGGAAAATTGATTTAAGTTTCACCAAATCATCTCGAGTTGAATATCTTATTTTCTATAACTAATATGTCATACAATAACTAGAAGTCGTAATGAAAGTGTGGCGACATTCACACTGAGAGATTATGTCACACTGCGAAATTTTGGGAAAGCTTTGCGCATGGAGTGACGAAACCTAACCGATAAAATCTATCCTCATTCATGTATCACGGTCTGGATGGAATGAATCGCGTACTTTCAACGACTATTACATATGCATATATCCAAGATAGAAATATTCCACTCGTGGTTACAGAACATTCGGCGAAAACCGAGACTTACCGAGGTTATTTAACCCAAATTATGTACCCAACGTTCGGACATTCCTGTCCTGCATAATTTCAAATTTGGTCTAAGCATCTTTTGGCCAAGGATATTCATAGTTGTATAAATGAAGGGCAACGAGACGGGATTTTTAGTCCCCCATGCTATCAGAATTGGCCCTTCGGTTTTTCCGTCCCCATTCAAGGAACTTTGTTCATTAGTCATAACGAATACAATTTTGGTTGCTTAGACTAAATGTGTAAACTTTTCAATATATATAAAATGGCAATAATTGTTTATAAAATACTTGAACTGCGCAATATAATTCAGCAATACACACGAAATTGACATGACGCTGGGCGTGGCACGACATTATCACATTGCCTTTGCTTTGTTACGTACGTTGCTTTCCATCGTGGCTAAAGTGTTTCTCTTATGACCAGCAATGTGAGCAAAAAAAGCTGTCATTTTCCCCGTGTTATTTGGTAAATCATTTACTTATGTACGTGTAAAGTAAATAATCAAGCTATTATTGACTTAAAATGTGTTTATTGTCCGAGAAATTATTCATTTACACAACTTGGGCATCGAAACCGATTGAATTTTTCTAAAATGTTAATGATTTATATCTTTAATATCCCACAAATGTTTTCATATTATCTTCGTTAAGTTTATTTTTTTTTAAATAAGAACAACTTGTCCTCACTCAAGGTCACATTTGTCAAAAATTAATGATTGACAAAATGAACATAAAGCAATTATTTGCTCTCCTTTACAGAAAATCCTAAATATATAAAAACTAACACTGTTAAACTGAACTTTTTTCTTAAATATTATTTATGAGTCATACTTATCTTCAAAACATTTTTTTGTTATAGAAATGCAATTCAAATTTGAAACCCGAGGTTTTTTTCATTGCGTATACGCTAATTTATACGCAGTATTTTTGCGCGAACTGAAAAAGAGAAAATCGCTCGAGGAAATGTTCGCGTTGTGGCCCTTAAACTGATCTCGGTGTGGACATTTATTTGTTTTTAATTTATTTATGTAAACGCGAACTTATCTATACCGCAAACAAATTCAACTTTTACAGTATTGCGTACGGTCTGATTAAAGTAAATATCGTTATTTTATTTATTTATGTTTTTTAAAAATACATGCATAACATCGAATGAATGAAATTCTTTTGAAGTCCGAGTAATGGTAAGCTTAATGTTCATTACATTACAGAACTTCCTTTCGGAGACCAGGGTCTATTTATGCGTCGTGAAATATACAACAAGTCCGGAGGGTATCATAAGGTCTACCTGATGGAGGATTTCATTTTGGTGAGAGAAATATGTACATGATATTTTGTTCATTCAACGTTATTATTTAACTCTTTGCGTGCCGCGTATATTTTACGTCATATGACTTTGAGCGCAGCCAAGGCCGATTTAATTTGAATCTCAGTGCTGGCGTCATACTTTCTTTTGAAATTGAAATTGTATCCCCTCCGATATTGTTTTCTTATTTCTTTTCACTTACAATGATGGAACCTCAGAGGTTGACGCACAGTCGTGATAAACCATTATGGGCGGATCGGTCGAGTGGTTAACACTCCGGCCTTCCATTCTAGGGCCACGAAAAGACGCGAGGGTCATTATTTGAACAATCATAATAACCCTTCATTCATACTAGCTGCCTTTAAATCACAACACTTTGCTTAAATTCTTGAATATAGTCCAAAGTTATACTGCGCATGTATATCTAAAAAACAATTGATACATTTGCATTCTAGCTACACACTATTTAAATATCATGGCCCTAAGATTTATTATTCTTCAGAAGAAGCTGTTTGAAGATTTCAACATATAAGAACCTTGTGTATAATTCGAAGTTATTATATACCGCTTTATCAAAGCATAGTTCGCAGGTCGTCTCAAAGCGGTTCACAAGTTATTATCCGTGGTTATTGGGCCTTTGCAACCAGCCAATATCTTTATCAACTCCTTGGGGAGCATACAGTCGGTGCGGCCATTTCGGCGCTCACAGATAGTATTCAACAATTCTAGCACTGCCTAACCACGTACTCATCATTTACAGCTGAGTAGGCTGGCATAAGCGGAGTATTGTATCTTGCTCAAAGATACAAAACAGTGCCGTGACGTGACTCGAACCCGCAACCCTTCGGTCACGAGCCCGGCGTCCTACCACTAGACAACCATGCCTCCTTAAATATGAACGTGAATTTGGTCGAGGTTTTTGATTTAAACAAGTTTTATAGCCACCAATCTCGTCTTCCTAATACTACATAAACAAGATTTTTTAAATACGGTCACTTTCGGTGTTCTGTTTCGAATTTCGCGGGACTATAGAGAAAAAATCGAAACATAGGAACTTCGACTCAAGAATATTTAACATCGAACATCATTGAGTTCCTGTATATAAGACCTAAAGTGATTCTTAAACACAAGCTAAGGAATTTAACTTAAAATCTATAATATAGAATTTACAGTAATGAAAACAACATGTATATTAAGACGCTGTAGTTTGCGTGGTGATTTTTTTCCAATTCAACATTTATTCGTTTGTCAATTACATTTCCGAAGCCTGTGCCCGTGTTTATATATAATTATTTTTTGCATCAATTTATAAGTTGTAATTTCCAACGTTTTCATAACCAATATTTTTCGAATCTACATAGTTCGATTTATTGAAGTTTGAATGTATTTAACTCCACTAACTTTGAATGAAGGTCAATGTGATTTATTGAAACAACATGAAAACAATAATGTATGCCCTAATCAATTTACAAAGGGCCGGTTTCCAAAACGACCCCTTCTCTGATTCAAATTTTCTGTTGGTGGTGCATTGCCCATGCCGTTGTGGTCACAAATCTATAAAGTATAAAGATTTAGGTCACTTGGTTTGTTTTTTATGGCTCCTCAAAGTTGTACCTTTCAGAAGCTGTCTAAGTGTTGATAAAATGTGCATGTTATGTAAAATATTAATGAAAATCTAATCAAATGATGGTCACCGTAAAGAATACATTCATGGCATGATTGTGACAAAAAATCATGTTTCCATCGCGCCATTTGGCTGTTTTATGGAAGAAACAATCTCAAAAATGCCATTTTCGATGATAACATTTTAGACACAAAAACTGTGTTTTTTAGAGAATACACCCTTTTATGGGCGTTGGATGCAAACCAATTTTTATCCTATTAAACAGTACGTAATATGCTATTGATGAGAGGAAAAATCATCAAAATGTAAGCGGTGGAACATTTTCAAATGTTGGGTTGAATTAGCCTATGGTTGAATTGCCGATTTTCGACTTTCTTTAGATAATTAACAAAAAAACGAGAGCATTTGCTCGGTATGTTGAGAATATGTACACAGATATGAAAAAAAGTGAGAGAAACACGTTTTCATAAAAAAATTCCTAAGATGGCTACTTCACAAGTCCCCGTGGTTGAAGACATTTGCTGACAAATAGACAGAACAACAAACAAAACGTTTTCCTTATGATTTTGGTTGTTTTTCGCATTTACGGGAGTGTTCATAGCTACGGGCGATTGTATAATACCTATATTTATAAGTTTGGTTAGTCACATGGTAACGGGGATCTTTCATATCGAGCCCCAAACATACTTTCGACATATGCACTCCGTTGCCGCATGGAAAACTATTTCAAGTTTTGTCGGAATTTCTTTACCTGTGGTTGTAATGGTCGAGGGTTTTCCAGCGTCCTGTAATACCCAAGGTAGTACAAGATACTGGAGATGTGCGCACACATTCCCATCGTTCTCTCTCCAACTGGGCACTGGCAGTAGTAGTCCTTTATTGGGGCCTCAACATCGGGTGAAACGGTGAACCGTATCCAAACGTTATATTTCGTTTGGCTTTTGTGTCGAGAATGTATTTGACATCGGAGAAGGTCTGGGGAGTGCTGGTAAAGCCACACCTCATAGTCTCCGTCATCACTTAAATGTTCGGCGATGTAACCAGGAGCCAGAGATATCTGATACGTTCCACACGTAATGGTTCTCAAGTAATCAAGATCGAGACGGGGAAACAGTACGGAAGATGCATCCATCTTGACAAACTCGGACCTTGCCCGTCTAGATAGATCCGGATCTGTCTTGACTCTCTGAGCTAAACCATTCGGTGTTGTCAAACGGTCCTTCATACGTTCAGCCATTAGCCTATCTTTGGCATCTCTCTCTGGAGATCTCTGGTAGATCGGTCCTCTAATACCATTCAGACAGGCTGTGACGGTTCGAAGCAAAGCCTCGATGACATTGATAAAGCTGTTAGACACCAATTGCGTTCGGAAGAACGTCCAGTGTTTCAGACGACCATGATAGGATTCCACAATCCACCTCGATTTGGTGATAGTTCTGTCAAGATTTGCTTGGACGTCAGAATGTTGACTTTGACCGGGTTTCAGGTATGACGGCATGCTAGCATTGAGGCCAGAGGCTTCGAGAACTGGTAGGACATCTCTAAAACCTCGGTCAACGACAACGTTGTCGTCTGGTTGTAGCCAAGTAACTAGCTTGTCCATGACTTTTTTTGTAATTGTAGCATCATTTTCGCTGCCAGTGAATGGTCCTACTGTGTCCAGAATGTAGCCATCTGGTAAGGCGATGCTCATGAATTTGAGATAGTTTCTCTTCTTCTGGCCACAGTAGGACATTCTCTGGAGCTTGTGGTCGGAGCTTTTCTGGATATAAATATAGGTGCCATCTAATATGGCAGTGGCTTTATCTCCAAAAAATGCTTCTGAAAAGACAGTATTGTGCCCGAGCAACTGTTCTCTTGTCAAGTGATCCGGACNTTTTTTTTATGTTTTATGAATAAACACGATGTTTTGGAAATATTTATCAAAAGAAATTTATACTATGTTGCGAATTACAATTTCGAGATAACCTTCTTTTATTTACGAACTTATGTCTTTGATGCTGAAATTGACAACTTTATAAAAATACATTTTCACTGAAATTATGAAATCTGGGTGTCGGAAAGGTGTAAAATTATTCTTCGGAAAAGAAAAAAATAGTAGTTGAGCTGGATAAGAAATTATACGGGGGCAGGCTCCTATGGAGAATTAACATTACTGGAAACAGGCCCTTTAAAAGTTTGCCAAGTACATTTTTGCTTAATGTCAAAATGGCGTTCATAGTGGCAATAAATGATTTTCAACTTTTTAGTGAAAATTCAATTTTGGAGAATATCGATGCAGTAATTTTAGAGAAACAATTGAAAATGTATCGGCCAATAATGGGACTAGTATGGTAGCAAATATGAGAGACTTGAAAATGCCAACACATGCTGACGAAATCATTAGAAACACTAGTACCAAGTTTGATTTCAACTGGTCCGATCAATTGTTTTAAAGAAGGCGAATATATTTAATTGTTACATGTCGAGGCGGAAAGAAAACACTAAAAAGTAGACTGAAATAAAATTGAAAGGTATAACTAAATATACCGATAAGCTCATTGTTTGAGCAATGAAGGTTCACTTGATTTTCATGACACAGTAATGCAGAAAATCCACCAGTGTGACAGGCGATAAATATGCATACGTTGGTGAGAAGACTTTCCAGTTTCAAGGAGTTTGGTATGTTCTGAACTTAAAACATCAAAGTATTACGTTTTATTGGTGAAGATTGAATTTAAAAATACTTTAGGGTCATCATATACTGCTCCATAACATCAACATTATTGGCAATAACACATAAAATACACAGAATATATATATTTCATGAGCTAGACTATAATCATATTCTATATTGAATAAATATCAATGAACAGAATAGCAAATACAGATGGATATGTGCAATAGATTAATAAATGCAGATAAAACAAATTGTATGCTTATATCTACAAAACAAAAGCACAGTAGAAATGACTATGTGTTAGATCTCTCTTTAAAAAACACAGAGCTTGACCTGGTACAGTCTGCTAAACTGCTTGGTGTAAAGGTTGATAAATGTTTAAGTTGGGAAGACTGTTAACTGTCACTGTGGTTCTCATTAGATGGTAGGCTGTTTGAATCCCAATTCGTCCGTGGTCAGTCGTCCGTCCGGTATTTTTCTCAAATTGCACATGAAGGTTCCCCGTGGTCCTTTCCTATGCATTTCTAATTTTGGGACTGATCGGAAAAGCAAGATGACTGACAGGCGGCCATCTTAAATATTGAATGTTAAAGTGTGATAGCTTTTTTGTCTCAGAAAGTATTGGAGGGGGTTTTAACAAAATCACATGATGGTTTTCCATGGTCCCTAGGTACGCATATCCAATTTTGAGACTGATTTAAAACCCAAGATGGCCATCTTGAATTTTGATAGTCGAAATTTGAAAGCGCTATATCTTATAAGTACTGGAGAGATCTTTCCCAAATTTGACATTTGACATACATATTTTCCGATCTGTTCTCTATGGTCCTGCAAAGTTCGAAACAAAACATTGCAATTTGACTGTATGTCAAAAGTTTCAAACAACTTCCTCGCAACAACCATACGGTAAAGAGTAATTATTTTGAGCAATACAAAGACGAGATTAATAGCTGTGCAATTTTCAAATAGTCCCTAATAATGTATATTGTTTTTTTGGCGAGAGAAAAAACCCAGGATTGCCACCATAAAGCTATGCTGAAATTTGACAGTTCAATTTTGTTATCATTATTTCATATGTATTTCAAAAATACATATGAACCTAATTTAAGTTATACTATAATTATGCGAAAAAAAACCAATCAGTTAAGTTATTTTTGAATTAATAATGTAAATGAGGGTTGACCATGATAGATCGTCTGATGAGCTTTTACATATTCAAGACACCGTTTACTATCTTTGACATTAACACATTTTTTGAGTGATTCTCGTGAACTAGCAAGATTTGTCCTCGAAGAAATGTGCATAGCTTATGTGCTATTTATATCTATTCTACCTTGTATTTTATGTAAATGGTTTCATAGTAGAAAATAATAATTATTATTATAAGATATCATTTTTGTGAAGTAGGCTTTTTTCCCAATAAGATAATAATATTATCATTATATTACTCATAAGATTTCTGTAGTTCATTATCAGATATTTCTTCTAACATCAGAAAACTGAGATGGTCGACAGGCAACCATTTTCATTATTGAGAGTTAAACTTTGTTATCACTGTTTCTTGGAAAGTATTGGAGGGATCTGATATGAAGGTTCACCATGGTTCATTGTTGTGCACACAAAATTTTGGGAACATGCGGCCATCTTGAATTTTGATAATTAGAGCTCGTAACAGCTACTTCTTAAAACGTACAGGAATAATCTTTGTCTAATTTCACATGTCGGTTCCCATTGTCCGTTATGTTAAAGACTGACTAAACAACAGGATGGCTACCATACAGCCATACTGAATTCTGACAGTTAAATAATGTTTCCACTATTTCTCAAGAAGTACTGGACAGATCTATATCAAATAACATATGTTGATTTACATATGTCTAAAGTTGTGCATGTTCATTATGAGACTTATTAGAAAAACAAACTGGTGGTCAGGCAGTCATCTTGTACTTCAACAGTTCCAGTTTTGATCACTATTTCCTAAAAAGTAAAAGACAGATGTATCTAAAGTTCAAATTTAGATTGTCCATATTTCACATTAATGACTGTAATAGTAAGTAGGTCAAACGACAACTTCACTTTGAAAGAAAATTGTCACACACAGCATTAAAATTGAAGGTTATAGCAAATGTTACCACGAAGTGTATTTATTGTTTGCATGACTCAGTCTAACTAATAGGAGAAAGCTATGAAGATGGAACGAGTGGCGGCGCCAAGATCCCTTTAAGATTTCATGTTAATTTATTAATTCCAAAATTTGTTAAAGAAGACTTAACGAAATAATTTTCCATAATATATGTTCTAATTGCCACTCCTTTGTAAATCATTCTGACCTATGTCAACTTCTGTGCTATTATGAGGGATTTAAAAGGAATCATTTTCCAACAGTCCTGTTTGTTGGACTGTAACATCACGTTTCACTTTCCATACCACAGAAATTATTATAGTACACTTTAGACGTGTTTCATGTATTCATCCTCTCGGTTAGAAAGAGAAGTAAAAAGATAGTTAAATTTAGAAATAAGCTGTGTTTTACTATTTGTTATTCTGCAAAGCGGAGTGAGATTTCTTCTATTCAAGACAAAGTTTCATTTGATAAGTTTTTTTATCGAAGTTCATTTTGAATATTTTATGTACATCTACATCCTATTCTAAGCCTTTAAGATAAACTTTGTACTTCCGTACAGAAGAATTTGTTTCTGTAACAAATATAGAAAAGTACACATATTGTTTGTCTGTTTTAGGTTGATACATTGAAAGAATATGGTCACATTGGAATGGCAGATAGGAGCCCGCTCACGACGTCAGCAAGACGCTGGCAAAAATCGGGATTTATCAAAGTAATAATCATACCGCTCATGTAATGAAACACGTTTTCATTATTATAAAGACAACTCTTCTACCAGCCTATACCCAGTTTTCAGATAAGCGTGTTTAGTTGTAAAGTTGTTCAATTTCAATTTAATGCGGAACTAGCGTCCGATGAGATTATTAGAAATGAAAGAAAACCATTTCTACAGTTACATAATTTATACAGAACAAATAGTTTTTTGAAAGTCTTTCATTTATACCCTTCCTCACATACATTAACATATTTCAAGCACTTCTCATTACCAAATCGTTAACTGTTTGATACAATTGTATGGCCCGAGAACACATATTACCTAATAATTCTTCTAGCTAATGGCTTAACACTTGTGCGTGCATGGAACGAAAGCCCACTTCTTACTGTCGCCGCTGCCCTAACACGGCCTTTACTACTGGTTGCGGTTGCTATAAGGACGCTCTGCGCTGCTCCTGGACCGTAGTTATCATTGATGGTCCCGTTTACGCGGAACTCTAGCTGGTCTTTGAGTGATCTTAAGTTGCCCGCTGTGGGTGACAGGATCAAGTGTTGTTGTTCTGACTTTCAAAGGGTTCTTTTCATGACTAATCACTGAACGATGACTGGTATACTTATAACACTTTAGGGGTCTTCATTACAGAAGTTAAAGTTTTAGCAGCTCCATTGTTCATTAGTTACTTTATGTATTTGTAATTACAAAGAAAACGATAATGAAGTGATGGTTTTCCCGATCACCTATTTTCGTGTGAGGATGCAGGTCCTACCGTACAATTTGTACGCTCACACAGAAAGTTCCCGACGTGCATACTCCTAAATCAAGGAATATCTAAACCGCACACATTCAAATTAAGGTCAACACAAGTGTTTATTTACAGTGGAACATCCAACCTGGTCACGTTTTTTCTGTTGCCTGTGAAGCGGAATGCGTTGTCAAAATTCAAAACAGGACTCACACAACTAAATCATTTACTATATGTTATTACTTAGCTTTTGAGCTAATAGCGTCGTTACTATTTGAAGTTCAACACTAGTTACAACTGTCTAGATTCACAGATACATACCTGAAAAAGGCTTCAAAAGGCATTATTTGGTGAGTTTAGTGGCATATAAGAGCGCTACATACGTCTGTTTTTGACAACCGGAAGCTTACAAGCCAAACAGGTGAAGTGGGACGTGAACACCCCCTGATATTTGAACCTATACCAATCCGCCATCACATTTTAAAATCCACTAAAACTATTCATTTTTCTAAAGATCAATATCTATAGATTTTATTACCCGTACGATTCACATATATTTGAAAAGAAATTTGTGTACCTCTATTTCTGTTATTGTTACAGTAACTTTAGTAACTAAATACTTTGTTTTAGAAATTTTGATAGAATTTTGACAATTTAACACACTTAGAATTATATGCAAAACATGAGTCATAAAGGGTTAACAGATATCCATCTTAACTGATCAGCTATCAATTATACAGACTTATATAAAACACTTCTTGCAACAATTCTACAATTCACTAGCAAAATGGAATTTAAGTTGGACTTAGCCAAAAACCTATATGTGACACTTACACATAAAGAAACTCACATGTGCAACTTTTGTAATTTTTGTAATATCCGAGGGTAATTGGGATTAGGCTTCCCTACCCTATGAGAGCCGCTAATGTCAGCGCTGTCAATCATAAGGCATAGAATCTCATTATACGCATTAATTTTCAGCTGGTCAGTATATTCCCCTTTAGACTCCGGCAAACCCCTAAACGTCAAGAAGTTACGCCTTGAATATTGCTCTAGGTCGTCCATACGGGCTTCCTACTTTTAACCTGGAGTTGTAGGTCCGAGATGCATGTACCGAGGGCAGACTGTAGAGATGTTTTGTACAAGTCTTTATCTAACAGTCGTCTCACAATTTCATCCACCTGTTGTGGATCTCGGACTGCACTCAATGTGTCGATACTTTTTGAACTTTATGAGGCAATTCTGACGTAGCCATAGTTGTTACAGTTGTTATATATAGTTAACTGTAGAGTATGTGTAGTGCGTACGTGTACATGTACGTGTAGCTCAATATGGCTTCGTGAATCTCGTGCAGCTCGATAGGTATAGACAAATAAAATGTTCAAATAATATTGGCAACAGTAAGTTCATGAAGCTTCATTCTATCGATAATTATGATTACCAATGAAAGAGGAATGTCTTCATCTAATCAGTATTCACATCTGAGGAATAATGAAGAATTTTCAGTAAATCCCTTCACCTGTCGAAATCACTTCCTGTAGTCCATGGCCGGAAGTAGTAACTCTAGATGATCTTTGAATGATCCAGAGTTGCCTGCTTTGGGTGACAGAATCAAGTGTTGTTGTTCTGACTTTCAGGAAGTTATTTTCATGACTAATCACTGAACGAGGACAGGTACATGACACTTTAGTGGTCTTCATTCGAAAAGTTAAAGTTGTAGTAATAGTGCAGCTCCATTGTTCATTAGTGACTTTATGTATCTGTAATTACAAGCGACAATGTAGTAATGTTTTTTCCCCGATCACCTATTTTCGTGTGAGGATGCGGTTCCTACCGTACCGCTCACACAGAAAGGCTCACACAGAAAGTCCCAAACGTAAATAGTCCTATATCAAGGAATGTCCAAACCGCACAAATTCAAATTAAGGTCAACACAAGTGTTTATTTACAGTGAAATATCCAAGCTGGTCACGTTTTTTCTGTTGTTTATGAAGCGGAATGCTATGTCAAAATTAAAAACCAGTTTGTCCAATGTAGTATTCAAAATAATTAGCAAGATATCAAAATCTGGTTTAAATTACTCTAACAGCACAGAGCATTGGATAAATGGATAAAAGTAATATTTGTGACAGGTGTGTTGCTATACTGCACCATGACGTCATCATTTTCTATATTGTGTTATTGTCTGGTGAACGTGATTGTTTCAAAATAAGCATATCCTTTGATGAGTTGAAAGCGCATTGGAGCTGCTCTGATTTTATTTTTAATATTTATATGATTTCATTTTTGTGCGTGCGTGCGTGCGTGCGTGCGTTGGTGCGTGATAAGCAGTCACTATTATTGTATCTGTATATTTCTGGTATTTGAACAGACAAAATATGAGTTTTGAAATTTAATTTATTTCAATTATAGGTAACAGCAACCAATCATTTCATTATCACGTGTTACAAGTTTGGAGTTCATCCGGACACACTGGCAAGATGGTACTACGGGGATAAGCTCAAAATACAGTGATGTGCATCAGAAACAAGCCCATCAGATGCGTTAATGGTGCTACAAAAACAATCTCCAATCATAACGATATCTGGAAATAAATCAACTCAAAGAATAAAACGCAGAAATGTGCATACAGTTGTAATGTTCGGACTCTTTGAAATGTGAACGGCACCATCGGAAAGAGATAACTATTTTATCCGGCCTTTCACCCCTAAGTTTTTCATGCAGGAAGTATACAACAAATTTAGAACCAGAACTGATATCACAAGAAGAAACAACGTTGTATCTTCAAACACCATGAGTAATATGCAATTAATAAATCTAAAACAGAGGCACACAAAGAAGATGTCCAACAAAATAAATATAACAATCATTAATTGAAAAAAACCATCTAGTAAAAACACTTAGACTGCCAACCTTTTGACGACGCAAAATTGAGTCTACAACTGTCTCGTCATTAACAACGTTACCGCATTATGACGTCACAAAATTGTTGAGTTTTCATAATGTGCTGCGTAATTGATAGCATGAAATTATTGTAATGTGTTTTCATTCGAGATAAACGTACATTATTAAAACCATGTTGAATCATGTGTGTTTATTCTAACTAATACAACCGTACACAGCATTTCTTTTTTAATGAATCTTGAGATTATGCGTACCCAGTAATTATATCGGAAAGGAATACCTTAATTCATAAAGGCACACTTTTAAATGTGTTGCCCCTAGTCTTTCATCACGTTCCTTTTACAGTTCAATGCTTTGGTGAAATGGAACGCCTACGTAGTCTACATGAGGTTCGACTGCGTCGTCTTATATTCGAGCGAATGGAGCAGACACAGCAATATTTCTCCTTGCGGTACGTAAGGACATCTGCGTGAAGTCTACTCTGTCTTATTGCATCAAACAGTGCTCCACACTTCCGAATCTTCAATTACGAGTTTGATTAATTCCCGGTGTACAAAAACAACTAAGGTCCCTGTGTTGTTCTTAATTAGGTACAAAACGACTTTTTAATTCTTTCTTGTTTTGATGAAGGCCACAGAAATCACTCATGATTGCGTCGTCTAAATCCGTGCAAACCATCCCCTTTTCGCATGTTAACAGCAGTTCCGGGCCAATGATTTGCATTTTGCACAAAACTCAGCATCAGTCAAACTTTCTTATCGCACCCGTCAAGTAAGTGCTTTGTCTCGGAAGAACTGAAGCCAGATTAAGCGAAGCAAAACAAATGTCACAGAATGCATAATTTCTTCTGTTCAACAGCGATGATTGTCTTTTAACTACAAATGTTGTCCCTTAAAGTTCGCCTTTAAGGGTTATGTCAAACTGGCAGCCTCTGCGAACACTCATTTGTTTACCATTTCCGGCTGCTTTGCAATGCATCCAGAACTTCATACTGAGCTTTGCGTTTTTTGCAGGTATATATTGACGCATTAAACTATGCCCATTCAGACATATTGTACCATGACAAGACGTAAAACGTCCGTCTGCTTCAATTCGTATTTATGTGGCTGCTAACTTATCTTGGACTATAACATTTATTCACAAGGGTTTGTGGCGATTTATTCTTTTGGTGGTAAGAATGTGTTGTAAACAGAGGTAGCTAATCAGTAGGGTTAACTGATTCGTAGTTAGACAAGCACTGACCAGCTTGGGAGTTAGGGCTAGGCTATATTAGATAAAGGAGTGTAGGGGCTGCTGTGGACGGCACACATGTGTATAAATAGCTAGGGCACTGGTCAGTGTATATGTATACATAGAGTAGAGCAGTTATATCTTTAGTAGGGACCAGTATTGTTTTAGATGAGTTCATAGGTCAGTTTTGGAGATATATTTAGAGAAAAGGATGGGAGGTCGCTGGAAGGTTAGGGGTGTCATGATTGTATTATATTTAGATGAAGTCGTGGTGACCCGTAGAGTCTTAAATAGGAGTGGTCAATGGGATATCCAGGATTTATCTTTAGATAAAGGCATCCTGATATCTACCTTTAGTATTTTAGGAGGGTTCTATCTTTAGACTAGAGTATTAATAGGAAATATAAATGTAGTGTATCTAAACTAAGTGAGCGAGTGGTTTATTTTGAGACCTTATAAAAGGGGCTGTAATTGGCTTCCGGGAGGAGAAGATGACACACTTGGTTTAGGAGCACATGGAGAGTGGATGGGAGGAGATGTCTTGGTTTGAAGTGGAAGTCTAGGACCTAAACAATAGAGCTCTTGGAGTGTGGAGATAGTGGTTGTGATTTTAGGAAGATAGACTGAGATTGAAAGCAAGTTAGACATGAGATATTTGGTGAGAAGTTTAGAGATATTGCTGATTCTGTAATAAATGTTCAGTTAACTTGAACTGCACTTGTTAGTTTTAGTTTCGACGGAAAAAACAGATAAAGGAAGGAATGGTGTCAGAAGCGGAAGCATAAAAACATCACAAATGGGGTCAGACTGGAATGCCTAAAAATGTTACAAATGGTGTCTGGGTGTAATGCCTAAAAATGTTATAAATGGTATCAGAAGTTGGATTCCGAAAAGCCTCACAGGTTCCTTCATTTAGGCATACTGTTTGGTGTTGTTTCAAATTGTTTCCAAAATGTACGAAGAGGACATATTTCGTTCATTATTCTTCTTTTTGTTGCTACTACTGTAGAGCAGTAACATACGTTAACGTTGGGTTTTCGTAGTATAAGTTTTAAGCTGTGCATTTACCAAAAATGAGTAATCGGACTTGTATCGAACTTCAGAAAAGAAAAAATCATTTAGGTTCAATACAAATGTCCGGTGTCCATTTTACTCGCAACATGATTTCACCACCAGATTCGGAAAATCAGCCATTAGTATGCTGTATGTGCAAACGTAGTAAGGCATTCTAGTTGAAGTTAGTGTTATCTCGTTATATGAATAATGTGTTGATTAATGTATATTGCTAATTGTATTTGATGATATAAATTGTAATTCTATGTATTGTAAAGCGCTTTAGATTGGCTTACTCTAGCTAGATAGGGCGATGTATCAAAGGTTGTATATTATTATTAATATTATTATGAATCATTTAGATAAGAATCGCTCAGTAGAGCAAAATATGCATGGACATGTGTATATTCGATTCGCAGTTAAGGAATGTTTACAACAGTGCTCTTCTGAAATTGATTGAAGACTTGTTTTAGCCAGTGTCTTCAATGCGTTGAAGATGATACGTTTACTTTTATGCTAACCTCTTTTAATTTTGGTACGATCGGTTTCAATGTGACCTTGAGTTTTCTACTTCGACATCATCGGTTTTATTATTACTGAAAATAAAATACAATTCTCGCTCAAGTCTTGTTCATCAGAATGTCGTGCGTACACTTTTTTCTTTCGCCTTTTCCATGACGGAATCTAGAATTTCGTCACTTGTTTGAATAATATAGTCCTGTCGTAGTGAACTAAAAAAGTATTCGCTTCTAGCCATTCGTTCTAATATTTTTTCTCTTCAGAAAACGTTATTGATACTTTCGTTGACAAACTGTCAGATATATGACGAGATATCTGCAACGGCTTACTACTTACCAGACCATCAATAGTTAAACCGTGCTGTGTTATCTGAAAAATCATCCTTTTTGAGATCGTTAGATTCCTTGGAGTTGACAACATTCGCAACGAAAATCGTTGTAACAAGTTCTACTTTAGATAAAGAAAATGCGGTAGGGGGATTTTTTATATTACGCAACCGAAAGGGAGAACACCTAAAGCATATGATAAAATAGCAAAACTAAAAAAAAAAGTTATTTTGAAGTGGACGTTTTAATATTGAATTTAATTTGACGTACTTTAGATAAAATCCCGACCTTGGAATAGACATCCTTTTGCGGTTGAAATACAGTTTAAGTGTACCCTGAACGAAAGTAGTCAGGAATATATTATTATTATTATTCGATATGGTCCATAATGTAGAATGTCGAAAACCGCATAAAAATCTGTCAATCCAATGCCGATAAATTAACGTGTGAGGTGTGTGTTTGATTTTCACATTTCCTTCTACTACTAATTAGAACGATTTACTGTGACGTCACAATTCAACGCCTGTAGCAACCACCATATGGAAGGAATAGGCGAGAACATCCATACAGTCTCAGATTGCTAATTAAGTAAGTTTTGAGTGATTAGATTATGCTAAGATAACATTATTATAATGATAATAATAATATACAAAATTTGATATAGCGCCCTATCTAGCTAACATATGCCACTCTAAAGCGCTTTACAATAGATAGATATATAATTAATACAATTAGCATATACATTAATCAATACAATTTTGGAGGAATTCGCAGGAGCTGCCTTATCAGGCGCGAACTACTAGTTCTATGCCACCTGGCTACTATCTCCCTATGTGTGTATGCATGCGTGTGTGATGGAGGTGTATTATACAGATGGCATTCAGGAACATCAAATATGCCAGACCTACGACTCTGGTACCATGTCATGACCAGTTTCTTAGCACTTAATGAGAATTTGCCGAATAAACGAATTTGAGGGAAATTAAACAGCATTTCACTCTACGTTGTTGATCATCAATTCTTTATTGCATATAAGGTGGGGAGTCAGCAATCACTTCCTTTACTATACAGTGAGAATGTATTCCACCCTGTCGCCGTTGTTGAACGGTACCATTTCCTGAACAGTTTCTGTGCCGGATAATTTTTATCGCAAACTTAGGCTTTGGTACCAAAACGACGCAAATGTATCAGTAACACTTTTGTGTCTTCTATATGTTGAAAAGACAATAAAAGACACGGCATATTTGAAGTATCCGCTCTTAACCTACTGTATAATCACAAAATTGACGACATTGTGCCTTCCTTATATTAGGTCGACGAATAAACAACAAAATACCAACAAACAGCTTCACACTAATTTGTATGCAACACTATCTCTAGAATATTATTAGCTCACCTGGCACGAAGTGCCAAGTGAGCTTTTGCCGTGGCGCGGCGTCCGTCGTCCACCCGTCCGTCCGTCGTCCGTCCGTCGTCCGGCGTCAATATTTTACTTTAAACGACTTCTTTTTAATCACCGAAAAGCCTAGGATGATGATATTTGGCCAGACGCAAACTGGGATGAAGGGCTACAAAGTTTGTTAAAATTATTGACCTTCACTCATGTTCAAGGTCACAGGGGTCAAATATGTTAAAAACTTTAAACATCTTCTTCTCAATAACCAAACTGCCCAGGGAGATGATATTTGGCCAGTAGCATGCTTGGGTAAAGGGCTAACAAGTTTGTTTAAATGAATGGCCTTCAATTATATTCAAGGTCACAGGGGTCAATTGTTTTAAAAAACCTTTAAACAACTTCTTTTGAATAACCAAAATGTCCAGGGTGATGAAATTTGGCCAATAGCATGCTGAGACGAAGAGCTACAACGTTTATTCAAATGAATGACCTTCACCCATAGTCAAGGTCACAACGGTCAAATATGTTAAAAACTTTAAACAACCTCTTTTAATAACCAAAATACCCAGGGTAACGATATTTGGCCAGTAGCATGCTGAGATAAAGGGCTACAAAGTTTGTTCAAATGAATGACCTTCACCTATATGCAAGGTCACAGGGGTCAAATATGTTAAAA